AAATGTGTATAATGTGATTGTACTTTGATCTACTTTTGTTGCAAGATAGCATGTTCGCGTCGCATAAATTGGTGTAGAACATAGTGTAGAATTACTCTTAACATTAACTCATATGGCTCCGTATTACTTGATTTCCGACGTATATGACAGGAAGTTTAAATATTACAGAACTCCGCGAGTATTTGCAGTAGAAATACGAAAGTACCACCAAAAAAATCCGCTTGAAAAGTTCTATGAAATCGAACAATGTAAAATAGCCATAAATTATAAACTAGGCATACTTGAACAATGTAAACTAACCATACCATACTATATACAATATTAAAACTCGAAGAATGTAAACAATGCATCACTAAGCCATACCTTTCGCCGAATATAACTTCGGCCCCTTTCAACATATCTTTTTGGTATTAGTCTTGTTTGGAACACAATCCAACACACTATTTAGAGTGTTATTTTCAAGCTTGTATGTACAGTTCTGCATGTTTTATTTCCCGCGAAATGATAGGGATACTTGTATCCCTAGTGATGTGGGAATGTAGGGTGGTTCTTTAGGGATACGCAGAACACGACCGCCATATTGCCGGGGATACACATATCCCTAGTGAGGTGAGCATGGGGATACACAAATCCCTAGTGATATTAGTAGGGGATACACAAAACACGGGGATACTCATATCACTGTGACAGCGGCCGATGAAAATTGAAAACATTTACATGTAATTAAAAGGTTAGTATAAATTTACACAAGTATTTCTGGCGTGCTCCCTTGATTCAACAAGTCACATATTATTAGCCCTGATGAAGATCCGGGCTTACGGCTCGAAAGCTTTGCAGTAATAAACTTACGTGGTGTTTCCACAAACAATAATATTATATGTTTTATCGGCATGCAAACCTACAAAGAACTATTCAGTTACTTATAGTTTTGACATACATACTGTCATAGGCGTACGCGGCGGGGGGTGGGGGGGGGGAGGGAGGGGCGTTGTTTGTCACTTTGTCCGTCACTCGCCTTAGTCATACTTCATGAAATGTATATTCATCATAGTCAACTGTATAGAACTAATGCTTTTGAAAGTTAGCTCTATTGATGATAACCTTGATCCCTGGTTTGACACTCTCATTTACGATAGTGATACCTTATTCGTCCTTAATCAGTCGCGCGTACTAATATTTTGCGAGACTTTATTAGTTGCGACAACATTTTTATTTTCGATAAAAATCTGAAATACAACTTTCGAAACAAGTCAACATAAGGACAACAGTGACTCAAATGAAGCCGATGATAATTAGATTTTTTGCTCTTCACTTTTCGCTCTTTGTTGCCAGTAACAAGATGCAAACTGTAGCCTAAACCAGTGGCGTGCTGGCAGTGGGGGGGGGGAAGGGACGGGGCCATGGCCCCCAGCTGGCAATTCTTAGGGGGCGCAAAATGAAAAGGGGGTGCCGAATTTTGAAAGTGGGTGGGAAAAAACGCATTCGAAAAAGTATAGTTACATCTGCCAAGAAAAGATGTGTTTAGGGACGGACCATTTGATTTTTGATGGGGGGTAGATTTTCAGTTTGCTTGATATTTTTTTTCCGCCTCCTGACACTGTTCGATTTTTTTTTGTCAGTCAGAGGACTCGCACGATATTTTTTTGTATGCATGTATATACATTTTTTAGTTTTTACATTTTTTAGTATATAATAGGTCATTGGACAAGTACTGGTGTAAGACATTGTGTAGCCTAAATAATGAGAGGACCAGTATTCAAAAAATGGTTGTTCTTCATTTCTTTACTCCGACTCCTATGATGAACATGTACGTAAAAAAAACTAGGGAAACTACGATTATATATAGAAACTAAAGTAGGTGAAATTTTTATGGGACTCCATAAAAGGTGAGGATATAAGAGTGAGGGATTGAAATTGAGTAGGAAAGGCAACCCTACACGCGTTTCGACCTTACAGTCTTCTTTAGCCTGCGAACAGGCTCTCAAGCTGAATTGAGAGCCTGCATCGATGACTAATGAATTTGAATATCTGCCCCGTAACGTTCGTTTTTCCAAATATGGAATGTCTATCCTTATATGGTGTTGTTTACAACTTTTGTGCAAACTAAATTTAGACCGTGCAAACTAAATTTAGACTGTACAGTTTATACTGTTTTTCGAAATATAAGATATTCAAGCAAAAGTTCAAATGTTTTAAATACTGTTTTCTCAAAACAGAACATTTCGTGCTTTGAGATAAGACGGCCAAGACCGATTTGATCAGTTAATGTGTTTTTATGCATAGTGCTTGCAGTTGACATATATAGAGCTCAGCGGAAACATATAAATTATAGCATCTGACCAATGAGAATTTCGCGTCACGATTTGAGACGCAGATATTCAAATTCATTAGTCATTGATGCAGGCTCTCAATTCAGCTTGAGAGCCTGTTCGCAGGCTAAGTCTTCTTCAGCATGGTTTTTTAAAGGGGAAATATAGAATTTGCAGAGGAGAAGAAAGGAGAGTTTAGGAGTTCGGAAAATAACGTGAACTTGGATCCTCTACGTAGCAAAATCCACACCAGAACTAGCTATAGCTATCTATTGGTCATATCGTATCATTCATTTACTAATCTCTGTTTTGGTTTTGTTATATATGTACATGTTTTAGTTATTATTGTATATTCATATATTTTAAACAAAAATCAAACCCTGCACGGTGTTATCATTATTTTTATCCCTTATGTATCACTAATTGCCAAACGCCCCTATCCCTGTCTTATAAGCTCCTACACCACTAACACCATATTTGGATGCAATCACCTACAGTCACATGATCACTCACCCTTAACATCACAATCATTCAAGCTCACTATACCATTGAGTAAGTTAACATGCAAATTTGCTTCACTTCACCAATACGAACGATGAACAATAAAGTGCGTAGTGTTGGAATGTCCCGCAAACAACAAGACCTTTGGTAGGATAACTTGACTAATAACATGTATAATGGTTACATCCTTTCACTGTGTAATTGGTTATTTTCAGCTTTTTTGTAATAATTTGTTTTCCTCTTGGTCTCACATTATTTTCCGAACTCCTATGAACTCTCCTTCCTTCTCCTCTTCAAATTATATCAACACCCCCCCTCCCTCCTCTTAAAAAACCCTGCAGGCTGAAGAAAACTGTTAGATCGAAAATCTATTCCTACTCAATTTCAATCTCTCGCTCTTATATCCTCGCCTTTGATCGTGTCCCATAAAAATTTCACCTATTTTGGTTTCTACGGCCGTGATTTAATCGTAGTTTTCCTAGTTTTTTTACGTACATGTTCATCATAGGAGTCGGAGTAAAGAAATGAAGAACAACCATTTTTGGAATTATACTGGTCCTCCCATTATTTATGCTACAGGGCCGTAGGAAGCTCTTTTTGATTGGGGGGTCTGGAAGCGAGGGCCGAAGGCCCGAGGAAATTTTTAAATTTAGAGTCTCTGAAATGCCATTTCCTGGACCCTGCAGCCCCCTGGTTGCTACATACGGCCCTTGGCTACACGCGGAAATGCACCGAATGGCAAATAAGGATTACCACTCGAAAGTCGTGCTCGATATTTTTTTTCATCCGTTTAGTCTTGCACGATATTTTTTTTAAGTTCGAATTGCTTGCCCGATAATTTTATGAGATTCTACCCCCATCAAAAATCAAATGGTCCATCCCTTATAGGCTTATAAACAGACTAAGCGCATAGGCGACAAAGTCTACATTAAATTACAGACTATTTTGTCTAACCGTATTTGCTACCTCACAGCTCACACGAAATCGTTCATATAGAAACATGATCAGTAATCAGACGCAATGTCTCATTACCGGAATATTTGTCAGGTTTCGAAGCGATCACGGGTATTATGCCCTTAGATTACGCCCTTTATTATGCTTCACGAATTACGAGAGCGCTCTTTTGGCAGCCGTCCGTGTGTTATTGTATAACAGAGCTATAAGTTGTAAATCAGATCAGTAGAGAATAGAATTGGGAAAAGATTAATCGCTGACGACGTACGCTGGACTGAGTTCACTGCATAATTTAATTTAAGTACCGCTAAATTCTAACCAAATTGCACTGTTTAGACACGTTATAACCCGTTTCCTGACCATCAGATTTCTGTCAAATCTTCCCCCAAAGTCCAGGAAATGGCATTTCAGAGACCCTAAATTCAAACATATTCCTGGAGGCATGCCCTCGGACCCCCTAGACAAACCTTGCACCTGCGGCGCTCGGCTCGTGCCTTCGGCCCTCGTTTATCAAGCGTAACATTATAGGGGCGCATGTTGGTTGACAACACACTGGCCCCTCCAGAAAAATAGTACCCAGCACGCCACTGGCCTAAACTAAGACTATTACTAAATTATTTGTTGTTCATGTCGATATATAAGTTGTACATGTTGTTGTTGATCGTATTTATCAAGAATTTTATGATTCAAATTTTTGACAAATATAGGGTATTTGTGTAAATTTCGCGAGGTTTTTTATTCGCGCGACTTTAATTTCGCGATTTTTGCTTTTGTTTAGGGAGGTGTGTTGCATGATTCTTGGAGTCCCTTTTGTACCTTGACTATTTTATCGACATGGCTTTGCATTAATTTATACTTAAACCAAAGTATGTTTTTACAGGTCGCACTAACTTTATTATTGTACATTTCTATTCGAACAGGCTGGCGTCCCCGGCGTACCATTAAGTTCTGCAGTTGGGGAGCACAAGAACCAGGTATGATTGGCTCTAACGAATGGGTGGAGGAACACGAACGAGCTTTGTCAACCAAAGGCATCACTTACATCAACATTGATGTTTCAGTTGCCGGTACTTACGTGCTAATTTTGCAAGGATCTCCCCTGTTCGAGACCGTCATTACAGAAACTGTTAAAAATATTGAAGATCCACATCTCAATAAAAGCGATGGAAAACGACAGACAGTGTACGAAAGATTGGTAGAAGTCTCTAATTCTAGTGATGGTAGAATTCCATTTGGGAGTCTCGGGCTTGTCCGGTCTGATTATGCTAGTTTTTATCAATTTGTGGGTACTAAGAACTTTTTGTTTACATAATGTATTTTGTAGATTATTGACAGTGTTTATACTAAGGGGTGGACCATTAGATTTCCGGGAAGGGGGGGGGGAGTGGTGGCCAGTGGCGGAAATTCACTTAGCCCGGTGAGGGGGGGGGGGCGAAGCCTTCTAAATTTCCGACAAAACTTTCAAATTTCCGACAAACCTATAAAAGGGCTATACAAATTTGACCTATAAAAGGGCTAAAAACAGCCTTTACGAGTGCAAATGGGGGGCATTTGCACTCGAAAAGGCTGTTTTTAGCCCTTTTATAGGTCAAAACTTTCACTGGGGTGGCAGATCCAAAAAAAATTCATGCAAGGAGTTGGACTAGAAAAAAATTCCTGCAAGCACTTGGGAAAAGAAAAAAAATTCGTGCAGTATGGCTCATTTTGAGATATTAGTTATAACTTTACTTGTGCTACATTTAATAACGTCAATAAAATTATAGATTGAAAACGAGTTGATATATAGAGCATATCAGACCCGTAACTAGTTATGAGTCAACCGCGTCAGTTGACTCGGCAACATTTTTTGCGAAAAATACAAAACTGAAACAGGAAGACTTCAAGTTTAGAGAAAACAGATCCTGAATGAAATTTATTCAATTTCTGACAGGGATGGATTCAGCATGTTCTGGTAGGGGGATGCTCTGCCAGCTCTGGTGCCGAGTTGTATCGGTCATGTGCGCCGCCCAGCCATCAACTTGCTTGACTACTGCAAAGTCTTGCTTGACTACAGTATTTAAATAATATTGTAATTGTTGTTCACAGTTCGCTTTGTTGTTATTACTCAAATTACTGTATCTCATTTTGTCACACACACCCGTACTCGAGTAAATCTATTCCTGATTCCTGAGGTAGGGTACAAGTACGAATTGGTGTCCCAAATATTACCAAAAACACGTTTTTAATATGCATGCACCTGATCATGTTGGACCAAGAGTACTTGAAGGCTTATGATTGGATACTTGTATAGTACAATGCGAGACACACAATGAAATTATAGTCCGATTGTGTCACTGCTTCTCATTTCTGATTTTTTGTTAAAATTGCTCCCAGAATGCAGGAAATAGCGTTTCTAAGCCTTAGAAAATCAAACATTTTCTGGGGGAGCATGCCCCGACGACTCGACTCGGTAAATCTAAAATCCTAGTTACGAGCCTGCATTTGTGTACACTATCATTAATATTAAACAAACTAATACAGTAATAGGGGGTGCGCCAGAAGTTTTTTTTTCAAATATGAGATTGAATGAAAAAATAATACATTCACTATTCTGGAATTTACTAATTTCCACACAAGAAATTGCGAAAGAATGTTCAAGTGTTTCTTCTATTTATGCTTTGCACCTTCTATGAAACTGACACCTTCTATAATATGTATTTTTGGTAATATATTAAATTTTCATATGATTGCTCAATACGGAAAATTCGTGCCAATATAGTTGCTTGGCTACATTGCCGCCATTTTTCTCTATCGGTAGACAGGGAAAAAGGTAGGTATAAAGCCTTTCAAAAAACATTCCTGCACAGCTTCTACTCCGAAAAAAAAATTCCGACAAAGCTTCGAACTCAAAATAAAAATTCTTGCAGGGAAAACTTCCCCCTCCCCCCCTCCCAGGATATCTAATGGTCCACCCCTAAGGATAGTTAGTATATACCCGATATAGGATATAGATAGTTACCCGATTCCTATACCCACAAATGAGAAGGCACAGGCGCACAGCTTTGCATGCCTGCCTAAGTCAGCTATAGATTTCGCTTATTTTCCAACACTATTAATTTAACAAGGGTCTGCTGTAATAAATGTTGAATTAAATCTATTAATCTAATAAGGTGCATTTAAGAGGGCAATATTTTTCAATGTTGCGTATTTGCAATGAGAATGATCAAAAGCTAAAATCTCTTTGGCCTTCCTCTCAAAATTACTTTGTTTAATTAGCTTTATTTTGCAGTTTACACAGTTAGCAACATTTTAAATGTATCTGGAGATTAAGAAACACAAATATTAGTTAAATATTGTCAATTTATCAATAAATTATCATTGATGCTGTAAAACTGACGCCATATTTATATACAGCAAAATAAGCAAAACTTACTGGACATTATCTTTGGCTTATACTACCTAAAATCCATTCATTTTAGCACATTTTAGAGATAAAGAACTAAATATACTTTTTAAATTTGTTTGCCGCTTGAGAAACGTATCAAATATTAAAAAATGAAATAGTCATAAACAAGTGGAAAATAATATTTACTACATATATTTGTTATGTATATTCCCCTCTAATAGAACGGTACATGTATTACAAAATTCTGGCTTTAACTGGATCTTGTTCAATACGCCGGTGCATTTATTAGAGAGCGAGCATTTGTTGGACCATTAATATGAGTAAAAATTTCAACCCACGGTAGAAATGCAATGCATGGATCGTTTTAATTTATTCTGGTCAGCAAGATGATCAAAATTTATATTCTTTTTATAGGCGTGCCATCGTTAGATATGTACTACCTCGGTGAGGGCATCTATCCAGTTTACCATAGTGTTCACGACACGTACAAATGGCTTCAAGGTTTGGTAGACACAGACTTCTCATATCATCTTACGACCACGCAAGTAGCAGCAAGAGCACTGATGTCGACCGTTGACAGCATCGTACTGCCACTTGATGTCCGCCAATACGCTAAATCCTTGCGAAAATCTTTCAAGAATTTGAATGATACATATGGCATGGAACTACGCCAGAATAACATCACCTTACATTACATCGATACGGCAATTATCAGGTGAGACCATTGTATATTTTTCCTTGACGATTTTTCCTTGTTATTGCTGCATATCTTCTGCCTCGTACCCAGGCGCTATGTATTGTTCTATTGTTCGCGAAAACGCAAGCCAGACAAAACGCTAAGGGCCACCAAGACGTTAATTTTCCACACTTGAGAAAAATCGTCCGACCAGTCAAAATACACCAAGAGCCCGAGAGGATAATTTTCACACGTGAAAAATATCATCCGCCTTGAGGATACGATTTTTATTTCGCATACTATATTACTATATACAGGGAAATATCTACAGTTATGTACTATTTAAAAAAACGAGCAGGAGTGTTTCATTAGGTTTAAAGCCAAGAGCGCGCAGCGCGAGTGGCTTTAGACCTAATAAAACACGACCTGCGAGTTTTTTAAATGGTTTCAAAAACGTTTGCATAATAAGTCAAATCTTTATATAAAAATCTTTATATAAAAATCTTTATATAAAAATTTTTATATAAAAATCTTTATATAGTTTGCATAACAATGATCTTTTGTTAAAGTGTTCTTTAGCTGGTATAAAGACGTATGCACGTGACTAATTTCTTACTCAAGATTGGATAATTGCTTCATGAATTATTAATGAGTTTTTGAAATAATTTTCATTGCTAATTAATGCGTTTGCCTAATTTGCTCCCCATGCTTATGTCAGTAATATATACATACCTGATTTTATATACTTGATTTATAATATATATATACCTGAACTTAAATATATACCTGAACTTATATTATATATACCTGAACTTAAATACTTAAACTAAAGCAAATTGTCTGAAATTGTGTACATTAATTAAAGACCCAACAAAGTTTCCATCCATTAACTCAATTCAAAATACGATTAAAGCTTTTAAATTTGGTGCGCAATCCATTCTTAGTTTGTCGGAACCCCCCCGATTTTACAAAATTTGAGTTTTGAGTGTTTTTCATTATTCTACATTATAAGTACCTTAAAGAAACTATATAGAGAGAGAGAGTATATATATATATATATATATATATATATATATATATATATATATATATATAACTAGATAATAATGGCTGTTTTGCGAATTTGAGAGCAATCTCAAATCTGTTCAGTTTTTTTGATACACCCTTTCTATGTTAACCAAATAATTATATTTCCCAAACATTGTTTTAACGTAAACTTAAACTAGGCCAGCTGACTGAACGCTGGCTCGCTTTAAGTGGTAGTTATCATTTTCTTTTTTGCATTTTTGTGCAGAATCTTTTTAACAATATCAAACAAATCAATTTGTTTTCTTCATGCATTTGCAGGTTCAATAACGCATCTGTGAAATTCCATGAAGAGGTAAGAAAAGCCATCAAAAGTAAGAACGAGATTGAACACCGTGATCTAAATGACAGGATGGTGAACGTAGAAAAATCCTTCATTTATAGTCTTGGTCTTCCAAATCAAAAGTTCAACCGTCACGTTATTTTTGCGCCAGCTTTCAACAACAATTATGCCAGTACCCATTTCCCTGGGATCTTTGATCTCATGTTTCCGAGCAATAAGACTGAGGAAGACTGGGGGGAAATACGAAGACACATTTCCATTGTATTCAAATCAATTATGTCCGCAGCCGAGACGCTAAATGAAGACGCAAAGTAAAATGTTTTAAATCAATAAGTAGTAAAATCAGTAAGTCACCAAACTTTAAAAACTGTAGCATTAATTATAGCAAGGTTTCTTCATAATGACCCGTGAAAGAAGTTAACACGAACTGTTTGCTAGTATAGCTATGCAAATATAAAACATGTTTCTAATATAGAGTAAAAAGAAAAGAATTACTTAATGATAATTGGCAATAAAACATCAATTAAAATAGCAAAAATAATTTTTGCAACAGTATAATTTTTGTTAATACTGTACTTCCTCTATTTAGCCTCGCGCCCCAGGGGGCTTATGGAGCTGGATAAGATGTTGTGCAGCTTAGATCTTGTTCGTTTAAATGCGTCATTTCTCTCTTCTCCGATTGTATTCCTCATTTTTAATGGTAAAAGCCAATTTGGAGTTGGAACTTCTTTTCCCATTGATTAGGAATAAAATGTCTAAAAAATCATATGGCAGCACTAAATGATATAATTAAGTATGTATTTATTCAAACACAGAATTACTAAGTATGTATACATGGAAGATATATTCAACTGAAGAAGAAGCGCACCTATACTCTACCAGAGTATCGGTTTATGCAAATATAATATTTTAAATGGCATTTCACGACAAAACAATTTTGATCTTAAGTGATGCCAGTATCGTGAATCAAATAAGATTCCGGTCTAAGTTCACTAATGATTATTTTATCTTGCCTTCCATACTCCCATCGATACACTCCATCACGATCTGAGCAATTTCAGTACATAATTGATCGGACTGATATAAACACACTAAAAATGGCACTAAAAGGTTTTCCGCGGTCTAGGGAAAATTATTTTTAACCAACATCCGATTCAGCACAACGTACAGCCTGGGTTCGATTCCTGAGCCGTTGCGCCAACTGACACAAATATCGAAGGCAGGGCCGTCCCGAGCGGTATCTGGTTAGTTGTCACTATATATTAACTATTTTTTAATTGTAATTTGAGTAAACAAATGAAAATGAAGAAATTGGAATTACTGCACATTGTTAACGAGTAGTCATATTGATACTGGCCACGGTGAAAAGACGAACTGGAGTCTATCTATAGTCTTTAAAGTCTTTCTTTACGCAAACGGTGGGCCGGAATGTCAATTGGAAACACGGCGGTTGTCAAAAGTGCCACGTTCTGTTTAACAATTTTAACCATAATCCAAGATAATTTATTCATAGATTGTGTCTACATCGAGTTTCCAAACATTCTTTATTCTATTGACCGCAATTCTTCCTTTACATTCCTTAGTATTTCGCACTGCCACTGATCTCATAGTTTCTTAATAAGCCCACCGCACACGAGCGCACTTGTCGCGCGTACTTGTTATTCGTGACAAGTTGGATCGACAAAATTTCCTCATGTGCGGGCAACATTTACGGCATTTTCGTCATTCGTGACATGTAAACCAAATATCAAACATGTTTGATATTTTTCGTCATTCGTGACAAAAAAATTCTCGTGTGCGGCGAGCAAACATTAGCGCGCCTGACCGCAATTGCGATTGACCACAATTCTTCCTTTACATTCCTTAGTATTTCGCACTGCCAGTGATCTCATAGTTTCTTATATGTAAATGTGCATACCAGACTTTATTGGAATTGTTAGACGTTGTAATCGTTAATTGTGGGTCTGATTCAAATAAGCACGTACTGTACTTAAAATTAAGCACGGTTGAATTAATTAAAAAGATTGCCTGCATGGTTTAGGCATGTTTCACGGCTGAAGCACGGGTTGTTTGGTAGACTTGGATCAAGTCCGTCTTTCAAGAGTCCTAGGGATCGAGCGCGCCGCAAACTCGGCGCGCGAGGTGCAATAACGATCTCGTCGCTTTACGACTCGGACTTTAGAGAGACGGACATGATCCAAGTCTAGTTGTTTGGTTGTTTCATACAGTAGTGCTTGCGTCATGAGTCGTACCAAATACATAGGTTATGTCGTTCTTTGACATCATGTCTCCCTGCATCAGATATAAGAAACAAAATAAAAATACATTCAATGTGTATCGCTACATTGAATGCATTATGGCAGTAGTCATGGCTGTTCGCAACACTATTCTTCCCACGTTAACAGTATCGAGATATTAGGTAGCCTGCGTGGCAGGCCCTCAGATTTATATAAATCAGGCCCCCCATAAAATTGAGGGCCTGCCACGCAGGCTAGATATTAGGCAACAATTTCTTTCTTGCTTTGTTTTTCGCAAAACAATTTTCTTATGAAAATATCCCTTTTCCGTTCAAGCATCGTGCTTGGTTTGCATAGCTTGTAAAATATAGCTGTTTAATTACGAGAACTACGATCGTATGAGAATAATGAGATTATATTTCAAAAAGACCGCCATTTTTGTTGTAATTAAGTGCGGCTCCGCATGAAAAGCTACTAATGTAATTGTAGTCTATTTTAGTCGACTACAATATGAATTAAGTTTGGCTCATGAAAAGTACGGCGTATAAACCCGGCCTTATGGGAACAACACTCGTTCACGATCCGGGAAGTTTGTCGCTTTTCAGAGGAAGTCTTCGCTCGTTACGTCAAAGTTTGCATGTCATAGATCCTAATATCCTATAAATAGTATTCTTCAGCATGCGATTGTCGACTACAATTAATTCAGCTTATAGTCTGCTTCAAAATCAAATACAAATATATTAGGATTAACAGGGAAGTTAGTATCGCATTTACCGACATCATTTCAGTCCCTATGGGGGTAAACAATTGTCCGGACATACCATTTTTCACTAACTTTCAAATTAATGTTCTATTTGTTTAATTTTTCGGTAGCATTTTCGTAAATTTCTGAACCTGGCATCAGTATTAGAATGTTGAATTTTCATTAATTCTGGCCGCGGAGGGCTGGAGACATCTGTCCATAGATATCTTATATACACTAGATAGTGCATCTAATTATTCTGCAATTCAAAAATTGAAGCCATGATTGCAGTCTCAGGTCGTTCCCATGAAATGAGAAGATTCGTATGTTTTCTATTTTTTAAACAGGGACCTTAAACATTAAGTTAACCCTATTCCAAATACATTTTTAAACTATTCGAATGATGAAAGTTATTGTTGTTTTTAAGCGTTTATTACTCAAGTGGGAACGACCAACATGGCCGCCATTTATTCAAATGGAGGTAACCGCTGGAATATTCTTGGCTTCAATTTTACTAACAGAGATGGGCTATCTAGTGTATATAAGATATCTATGCATCTGTCCCGTATTTCCAATATATGAACTTGATCAACGATATTAAACTGAAAGTGAAACTGTTCGGAGTTTCAATTATTTTGTTTTACATTAAATCAAATTAATGCAGTTGGGCGCTTTCCACTTGACGGAAATTCCACCAATCTTGCTTGAAAATCAAATAGAACATGCACCAATCTAGTTCCCTGAGCCTGCGGTCCTTGGGAAGGAAACGAAGGCTCTGGGATGGCGTCAAATGGAAAGCGCCCGTAGTTACCGAAAATTCAGGAACCGTATGAATTTTTTGTACATGCATTTTCAAATTTATCCGGTTTCGTGTGAAGGCAATTTCAATTTCACAATTAACTAATTTGTGTAGCAAGGCCTTTAATTAAAAGGAATCATTTTGTAGTATTAATTTAGATAAAACTTAAAGTGCTTATGAAACGAAATTTTTTCCTCATTTTTTATTGTCTGATTAAAAGGTACTGCTTAAATGATGAAGAATGACGTTTACTGTTTGTTCGTATCTCATCTCATTCCCAAGTTATCGCACTTTCTATATTTTGAGTTGTGACGTCACTAGTTTGACTCAAAATAGTGGCAATAACAAGAAAATCTGATATCTTGATGATCATTTAATAAAATTCACTGAAACTTGGCACACTTAATGGCTGCAACGAAGTGAACAATTTGGCGTGTTTATATGGTTGTTATGGCAACACACTCGTCCCCAGTCCCTTCTCTTCCAATTTCTATATGATCCATTTCCAACGAAATAAATAGTAATTTCTGCAATTGTCGCTTATTACTATCATACGTGTAGGTATTGTGATCAGTTTAAACCGTTATAACATGCAAACATCCTCTGCAAGAGGTCTACAGGAGGAAGTTTGTGAAAAAGAAGAGAAGAGACTCTGGACTAGTGTGTTGCCATGACAACCACATAACTATCCAAGTGTGCCGAGTTTCATTGAATTTTATTAAATACTCTCTAAAATATCAGACTTTCTTGTTATTGCCATTGTCAAACTAGTGACATCACAACTCGAAATTTAGAAAGTGCGATAACTTGAGAATGAGATGAGATATGAAGAAACTGTAAACGTTATCTTAGTGGTGTTGTGATAAACAGTGCAAAACTGTCATCAAATGCAAACATTTGCGCATCAATCATTATTAAACCTGCAGGGTTACTAATTGTTGAAGATTACGTCTGATAATCCCTATCGAGATCCATATTTGTCTTATGTGATTAAATACCATTTTTACTGGCAGTGCTCCAAACATTGGGTGTAGATAAAAGGCGGACGGACGGCGGACCGCGGACGACGGACCGCGGACGGCGGACGGCGGACCGCGGAGCATTTTATAAACGAAATGAATATGTTTTCACCCGTTCAAATTTTTAGCAATGGAATTTTTTAATCAACATTCAAATGATTCAATACGTATGTATGATGGCTATACGGCGTCTTTCTCGGGAAACGTTTGGAAATATTGTAAAACAGCGCCTTAGTTTTGGAGCTTCTGTTAGGCAGAGTTAAATGACATTTTCACTTGTTGACATTTTTGTATTTTAAATAGTGCTGACTTGTTGTTTTATAATGAAAATAATCCCCGTTTTAATTATAAACCTAAGAGGTTCACACGAAGAAATGGCTTTGCATGCGACGACTATACTATATATGAATTTTAGAAATATTAAAGGGTTATTGACCGAGCGTGAGGTGTGAAATATCAGACCGAGGTTTTTATGCATGGTCAGTGTAGTACAGTTTTGTATGGTATGTAGTATGGTATGGTATGGATCACAGTACAGACCGAACAAGCGAGGTCAATAATCGGTTTATTATATGGCTGAACTGAGTCTGTGAGCATATGCTTTTCGCGCGAATTAAATCGGCTATCGTCAGTTTCACTGGGTAACAATATATTCTAAATTAGGGCCTGAATTTCAGGTTAATATACCGTAGGCATGCATGCTCAATCAAAAACAATTTGGTTATTTGAAATTTTTATCTGTAAAGCACAATTGGAAATTTAAAAAGTAAAATTTTGTTCTGTTTGCAAAGCAAAAATTTCCCGCCAGATAAACGACATCCGGGACACCGGTCCACATACGGAAAATACGGACCACGGTCCGGATATGGGTTTTTACGGAGCGCTTGTCAACCAATCAGAATAGAGAATTTTGAAAAGCCATATAATAATATGCATTAGGGGCGGACAATTTGATGAGGTGGATTTTCATTGAGCCCAATAACTTTTTAAACCTCCCAAATGCTGCTCGATATTTTTCTGCCGTTCAAGGCTCTTGAACATTTTTTTTATTTCGTGGGCACATAATATTATAGGTAGTAGGTATTGAGTATAGGCTATGGGTCGTGATTTAAGAGAATTTTTTATAAAGTTTGGACATGCAAACATTCACAATTGTATATATTTACAATTGTATATTTTTGTCATTTCTTTAACTATATTGAGTTATTGATATTTTCCTGACATATTTATATATATATATATATATATATATATATATATATATATATATATATATATATATATATATATATATATATATATATATATTGTATATATATATATATATATATATATATATATATATATATATATATATATATATATATATATATATATATATATATATATATATATATATATATATATATATATATATATATATATATATATACGGTAACTGATCTAATTAAAAACATTCTAATGTTAAAAAGTTTTTGAAAAGTTTTCGGCTGCAAACTGCTAGCCTTCTTCTGAGCAAAGTGGCCATTGCTCAGAAGAAGGCTAGCAATTTGCAGCCGAAAATTTAGCAAAATTTAAAAAAACTTTTTAACATTAGAATGTTTTTAATAGGGCCATAATTTAATAGGGCCATTTATACGGAACAAAATAAGACGCGACTTACATAAGACGCGACTTAAGTAAGACGCGAGTTTGTCGTATAAGTTATGTCAGACGCGTCCTGGATAAGACGCGTCTTACATAAGAACAGGTCTTTTAGCTGTTCTTATTTAAGTCGCGTCTTAAATAAGAAATTTTGGGCAAAAAGTCTGACTACACATGCCAGAAACTTGAAACAACGTAAAATTGTTAGCCTTGCATATTAAAACAAAAACAACCAAAACAACATTATAGCTATAGCAAATAAATAAGACCAAAGCCGTAGAGAACCATTTATGCGATAACTCCGCTTATTTAAGTCGCGTCTTATGTAAGTCGCGACTTATTTTGTTCCGTATAAATGGCCCTAATGTCACAATGTCACACAGTAATCAGTGTAACAAGCTGTTTGAAAAATGTATATATGTGTAATGTCAACTTGGGCAACGTAAGTTGGGCAGCGTAAATATTGTATATTCTATTATATGTATATTTGAAGGGCTTAGGGAAGGTTATAATTTCGTTCTACATTTATATACAGTGAAATAGTAATGTGTAAGCACTCACATGAATGGACGGTTATGGACCTTGGCTACGTGTTAGCCTTTTAGTAAATAAAACGGGATTATAAGTCGCACAATTTAAAGTATAAAAATGACAGCAAGTGAATGTCATGTAATAGCCCCGCCTAATAATATTTTAATTCAATGGTAGTGTTAGGGCAGTTATATACAGAAGCACCAAAACTAAGGCGCTTTTTTAACAATATTTCCCAAAGTTTCACGCGAAAGACGGCGTACAGCCTCCTATCATACATACGTATTGAATGCTGATTAAAAAATTCCATTGCTAAAAATTCGAACGGGTGAAAACATATCCATTTCACAGATCTAAGGCTGGTATACTGTAATTTCGGGTATTATAATTAGTTGCCGTAGTAATCATGTGTATCTAAAATGCTCCGCCGTCCGTCGTCCGCCGTCCGCCGTTCGCGGTCCGCAGTCCGCCGTCCGCGGTCCGCCGTCCGATTTTTATCCGTCCGCCTTTTATCTACACCCTCTACTGGTTAAAGTGTTTATCACACAACTCTTTGAGCATGACATGACCTAAGTGCTTGTAGTCCAACAAACTTGAGTGATTATTACAACGATTGAGGACTACACGAACACAACAGCCCGAATAACCTTTGCTACGAGATGACTTCAGCAAGACTATCTAGAGGGCAGCTCGTGGCTCTTGTGGTTATAGGAATAACATTGTTTCTGTTGGGTTTTTTAATCGGTTACTTCACAATTCCAAATGACGATGCTGACACTACACGCCGTACTATTGAAGAACTACGTACAGATGAAATGCACAAGAAAAAAAAGTATCATTCTAAGCTCTACAAAAGTCTGAACAAGGCTGAAATAGGCAAAAATTTAAGGTATGTATGACTGAACCAATTTAATTTTTACTTTTTAAATCCCCGCTGCGGTAAAGTGAGGCGAGCTAGAGTTGATGAGTGTTTGAATGGGAATTTACTCAACTCTCAGCCAGTTCCGGTCAAACGAGAACAAGAGTTGCTTAGCCTTTACCAGGACTTAATTCGATATTGTAGTAGTTTCCATCATAGTTTCCATGCGAGTCACCACACTATCCTTAAACAAGTCACCACACTATCCTTAAACATAAGATTTGATGCTCCAGGAAATGTAAACAAGCTATCAGTGTGACATCCCAGTTTATATACTTATATACTCGGAATATTGATTTCTCGGTATATATATACAAAATTATTTTAAAGTATAACAACCAGCGAAGAAGTAAGCCACTAACTACCCTGCGCGGCTGCGCGCAGACTACCGGGTGGCGCAAAAAAAAGTTAACCTGTTTGATTTGTTTTCACTTAAAAGTTAAAAGAGCTATTACACGTGAACTAAGTGCGTTGCATTCAGTATTGTCTAACTTAAATTTTGATATACGCACTGTGCATTTTCATGCAATATTGTCCGAGAGAGCTGCGTTTAAACTTGAGTAACCATTTTTGAAAGTGTCGAGAATTAGCCAAAAACGGCCTATCAAATATTTAATACAGCAATAACCTGTGCTTAGACGCACTATTGTCAGAAAGTACACGTTCGTTGTCAGAGACCTGCCCAACGCCACCTGTATAACCTCACGAGCATTATTTACCCTTGCATATTCTAAACATATCGAAACTCTTTGGTCCTTCGTTAAACGATGCGTATTTATAAAAAACACTTGACGTTTCTTTCTTGGAACATTAGAATTTGATTCCCCAGGGTCATTGAATATTTAGAATAAATCTTTTAATCAAAATCGCTTCATAATTTAATTTTCATGCATTCCCAAAGAAAATCCATCCAATAAACATTCTAAATTTAAACTTCACTTCATTGAAACGAATATTTACGATAAAATGGTAACGGTTATCAAATTAGTTTAACAGGCCGTTTTTAGCTAATTCTCGACACTTCCCAAAATGTTTATTCAAGTTTAAACGCAGCTTTCTCGGTCAATATTGCACGAAATTGCACAGGGCGTATATCAAAATTTAAGTTAGACAATACTGAATGTAATGCACGTAGTTTAGGTGTAATAGGTCTCTTAGTTCTTAAGTTAAAATAAATCAAACAGGTTAACTTTTTTTTGCGCCACCCGGTATATAATGACATATATATGTCATTATATAGTCTGCGCGCAGGCTAGCCACTAACGTTTCTAGTATGTTTTAAATGTATACACAAACGTTTTGCGACCGCCGACAACCGACCTCTGAACTTTGATAAATAAAGCTGATTATTGCGCGTTCTAAGTTTATATCATACAGCGTCGATTCCTCACTCCTGCTTAGTTTCTCATGCGAAACAATTATGTTAAGTACATAAATACACAGCGTTATTAATGTGGTTATATTAATATGGTTCGGCTCTCCACAAACATTCGTTGAGTGCCGATGTTTATTGTTTAGGACATAACTCTCCGATATGAAGTCTGCGCTCATGTTGAATATTTCACTCAATAATATATAGACACAATAAAGAGCAACAGTGATGTTATAATATTAACACTAAATGTTGAAAGTAGAGCAAAAACCTTTATAAGAAGGGCTCGCCTTTGAAACCCAGTCACAGCGCTTCGAATTTACAACTTGTCTCGGCAAACACTTGATCATCAATCATCAGAACATCACACGCACGTGAAGGATTAAAGAAGCCGGCCGAAGTGCATTATGGTAAAAAATACCGGCGACCATAATGCATCGCGCTTGGTTAAACTTCAGATTTCAATCCCCATATTAAAGTTTAGGTCTGCTGCCTTGCTCGGTCGCTTCAGGCGACCTCGCTGCGGCAGCAATTAAGGTTACATTATATGATGAAAACACTGTTTCATCATTTTTTACATTTTTATTGATTTATATTCTGGAGCTGGAGATCTCTCGATTGCCGCAAGTTTTTTTCCAAAATATTAAAATGCGTCCGAAATATAACAAAGAATGTTATAACCACTGATTCGTTCGCCGCGAAAGTTGTAACTGTAATTGACAATATGTAGATAGATGTGATACTCGATACCGGATGTGTGACCTTTAACCTCGCTTGTGTCTTTGTGGTGCACGACAGATCTTCCACTGCATTTTCGTTTGGCGGATTTAGATCGGTCTGTATAGCTATCCCCTTTTTACATTAGCGTTTCGCCGGCATATTAGCAAGTTTTTTCGTGTGGTTTCTCACATGTACAGTTTGTGATATACTGATGATGAGTGAATCTGTGAATGACACCGAAAACCCTTGCCAAAACACACTTTACTAATTTTAATCCTATTACACTTCGAGGTGATAACAGAGAGCGGAAAAACCCTGCCAAATCTAATATCGTCTTTTAGGGTGATTGAAATATTCTCAGATTGTCCCCACAAAAATAGTTTAGAAACGCGCACGTTTTATCCGATTCCCTCCAAACTTTGCCACAATGTTGAACAATGGTACAGGAGCAAAACCGTGTTCGCGTTTTTTTATTTAGTGCCATACTTTTCAAGTTATAGGCATCTATTCTGCCGTTATCCCAGAATTTAGATGAGTCAACTTGTCTGCTTTATATCAAAGCAAATACAATACCTGTCAAAAAACGCGAACAAGGTTTTGTTCTTTGATCATTTGAGATGGGAAATATTATGTTTCGGAAGCTTTTGAGTTAAATCAGAAGCGTTCTAATCTCGTGGCGCAAAGGCCGTCATATTTTCAAAAGCAACCCGTAGCAAGTACAGTTTTTAAAGATGTAGAACTTTTGGCAAGTCGTTAGCTAAGCAATGATTTATCATTATGCATGCAAAATTTGAAGGGGAAAACTTGAAAATTGAGCGCGCGGTTAGCATTTTGGTGAAATGGGTTTCCATCATGTGGAGTAACCTTAAAGTTAATTATAACTAGGGTATCTGCAAGGTAGGGATTGCTGCGGGCATTAAAAGCAAATAGAACTACAGTAAACAGCACAAATTATATCAAGCACAGTGATTACTCGCAGCGACTAGTCAGCTGTGAATGGAACTGAGAAGAAGCAATATAATTATATTGAAGTAGCAAATACCAGGGGTTAAAGGGCAATCAGGGGTGACAGATATTTGTGCGTCGCATTGCATTGACATACAGATAAATTAAGATCAGATTTCATATCAAGTCTGTTTACTGCTAGGCGCATTTACCACATTATATAGACTATATATTTATTTATTATTTATCTATTAACTTTACAATCATACAAAAAATATAACAATGATTGAAGGTATGGTCAGCAGGACATGAGTCCCATGTAAAGACCAACCTGATACAATACAATAAGTAGACATACATTAAAGACAAGGACTAGAACACTATTTACATAGCTATATAAAAAATAATAGTTTAGATTAGAGCAGTAGGTTTTCCAAGTGCGCATTCTGTTAACATCGAAAGAAGAGTCTAATTGAGAAGAGTAGTGAGAATGGAGCTGGAACTTAAAGGATGAAACAGACGAACTGTTACGAATGATTGGAGAGAGATTGTTCCATAGAAAGACAATTCGGTTAAAAAAAAGAGTTTCTAAAAAGAGAGGTTTTGCACGGATTGACTTGAAGCAAGTTGTCTTTGCTTGAACGGGTGCGAGATGAGCGATTAGAAGAAAAGGTGACAAAAGAGGAGATATCTAGGTCGTAGAGGCCTTGTTTGCATTTGAAAAAAAAGATGAGATCCTTTATTTCAAGCCAGTAAGATATAGGCAATAAATTAAGTTTCCTAAGACGCTCAAGAGAAGACAACTCATAATCATGAAGTATCACGGGCCTAAGAGTTTTATACAACAGGCCCCTGGAAGGCAGCAAGAACAAGGCGGAAATAGGCACAAATTTATGGTATGTCTACATTTCTAGCGCTTACTTAGTCTCAATTAAAGGGCGTTTTCCTTTCGCTTAATGATGATATAAGTCGAAACCTGGATATAATAAATGAAAATGAAATTGTTTGGAATATGCATTATTTAGCACTTGATCTAGTATAAGCTATAGGACATAAACGGAAGAATAAACAGTAGTCTATTTCGCCCCTCTCTTCCCTTCATTATAGCGAACCTTCATTATATGGTCCCGCTTACCCGGGATTCAATGAAGTGTGATCTCACTGTGATGTATTTTGAGCAAATGAAATAAGTCGCAATTCATGATATAACAAAATTGCTTGTTACAAATTGTATCAAATTCCATGTTTTAGACAAAAAACAAATGTTGTTGAATGTTATTAATCATCTTCTTCCACTACATAACTTCTAGTGCGTTCCTAATTTCGTTTAAATAATATTTAAAGTTATCTAACTTTTGTTTAGGGCAGAAACACATATTTAAATTGCTCAAAATAGGTCACACTTCATTGAATCCCCGGGTATGCGGGACCATATAAACAGCCCCTTAAAGGAAGGCTTAATATAGTGTATGGACCTGACAAGAAACAGCGTTAAATTTTACACTTAAAACTACAGTATAAACCACCGATATTGGTATTAGATCTCTATAAACTACCGATATTGGTATTAGATCTCGTAAAGATGACGTCCTCGAAGTATCGTTGTATACGTCTTGTATATACAACGGCTACATTACAAGCTGAGACAACGATTTCAAATTGAATCCTAGAACTCTTCTCAACCATAAATACTTGTCCTAACTTCGATCGTTAGAAGTTATTAATTTCATATACGGTGGATATATAACTGACAGATTTACACATGACATGTTTTAGTTCGGTTGCAGCCGTGATAATGTCCTATACGCTACTACCTTCCCGACGCCTTCGCTCGAAACGTCGAAGTTTCGCTTATATCTTCAGGTAGTTGCATCATATTCCTGACAACGCAGTAAAAGAAAGATGAAGATGAGAAAAAATTGTTTCCGTGAAACTACCGTTTATTTTGTCACATTGCCGTACTAGATCGATTCCGCAGTATTTTACTGTGAGCGAAACCAAAGGACAAAGGCTATTAGTAATATCAGGGGATTAGTAAAGCAGCGTGAGGTTTTGAGTTAAGCTCGAAACGTGAAACTATTTTAGAATATACTAGCAACACGTCCACCCTGCGTTTGAGGTATCAAATGTCACTGACCATGGAAGCATACCTATATAATCGATTTGGTTAAACGAGGTTGATGCTTTGTGATAAAATGAAACTTGGAAAAGTGACATAGAAAAACTTATAACAAAGTGGTCTAACTTCAACACTTATACAATTCTGGCTAGCCATTTTAATAGCTTAAAGGCTAAAGGTTTATTTAAGATTTAACAAAGACTATATATATAAGGAAGTAAAGCAACTGTTCATGCACTTCGCATTCTACTTGTCATATATTCAAAAGCCAATATATTACAAAATATCTTTAAAATCCATGAACGGGTATGAAACAGATTATAATCGAACAACAACTACTGTTCAAAAGGATCAGGAGGTGGACAAATCTTTTTTGTTATGCATTAAATCTCTTTTCATGTTTGTTCTGAATATTGAATTTTGTTACTATTTTTATGTCATTTTAAAAAGGTATTTTTCTAAGCGACCCCATGTTCCTGGAACAGAGAGATCCAAAGAGTTGGCTGAAGAAATCGCTAGAACTTGGAAGGGTTATAATTTCGACCAAGTGGAAATGCCAAAATATAATGTTCTTCTTCCTTATGTTAATCCAAATATTTCAAATAAAGTACAAATTTTGGATACTGGAAACAAGACTGTGCTTGAGTTTTCCGGGAAGGAACAGGTATGTTTTCGTTTTGCAGTGATAATTGATAATTGCCATCATTTGCATTGTTAAAAACAGAATCATCATCACCACCAACTTCATCATTATCATCGCCATTATCATCACCATCGCCATTATCAAAAGTATCACCATTATCATCACATACAGCATCAACATCATCATCGATATTATCACCAAAATGTTCACCATATTAATGATCAATATCACCATTACTGCCATCACCATTATCATCGTAATTGTCATTATCTCTTTTACCATTATTAAATCATCACTGTTATATTAAACCATTATGAATATCTTTATAAAAAAGTTTTCGAAATATATTTCGACACAAATTTATTGATTCTTGTGTATCATTCTATTCGGATGTCGAAGTTGGCAGATCCAAGTGAAGACGATGAGACAATGATTCCTCCATTTCTTGGATATTCGAAACAAGGATCAGCTAGTGGCAAGCTGCTTTATGTGAACTATGGCCGCACAGAGGACTTTGATGTATTAAAGAAGAACTGTAGCATTCCAAACTGTAATGGATACATTGCCATCATGAGATACGGCAAAATATTCCGTGGTGATAAGGTATTTATTTATTTTTTATCTTGTGCCGCTTGTTCAAAGAAGCGGTTCAACCATCGGTCAAAAGTGCTTACAGTTGCGTCGCCATAAGAAAACTGCACATTTTCCTTTCTCTTCAGGTAAAAAATGCTCGCGAATGCGGTGCCGTTGGTGCCATTTTGTACAACGATCCTGCAGACTTTGCCCCAGAAGGCCAGGACAAGGTATATCCTCAATATATCTGGTTGCCAAAGACTGGTGTTCAACGGGGATCTATTTTTACCAGTCGCGGAGACCCTATAACACCTGGACTGCCGTCTATTGATGGCGTTTACCGAATATCTCCCGATGATGCCAGTCTTCCAGAAATCCCAGCAGCGCCCATGCCGTACGGTGACGCTGTAGAAATCATGAAAATTATGGAAGGTAAATCTCGCCTACTGAGACGTCTCGCCTAGTACTGGGACGAACATTCCCGTGTGTCCGTATGGAGTTTTTTTAAATTAACTGCGTTGTAATTTCACCTCGGCAAGCTCAGTAGTGATCAAATTGAGATATAATTAGCGCTTTGAAAACTTGTACATTTCAGTCATGCATCACAAATATTTTAACGAGTTTGGTGTTTTTCATCTTTTAATTTATTTACAAGAAAAATCATTGCTTTGCCAACGTATTTAAGACTTGTTTACAAAACAAAGATAAAACTAAGTAAATTGTTAAATTAAACGATAAAATCTAAAATTTGGTTTCTTGACTTCATCCTGGTACGCGAGCTAAGACCTTATCTAACTCTCGGGTTACACTGCCGGGATCTCGCCAAGCATCATGCCAGCCCGCTTCCTCATATGAACACGATGTAAATCTTTATACTACTACATGGCAACATAATAGGTAGGCTAGGCGGTGACTCGTTAACAAGCCTTTAGTAAAATTGGTTATAAAATTATGTAAAAAAACGTCCATTTATTTTGTTTACATGTAGGTCAAGAAGTCCCAGACAGCTGGAAAGGTACACTCAATATTACCTACAGACTTGGTAATGGAGGATTAAAAGGAAACAACTCCGTTGTGCGAATTGAAGTCAATTTTCCTAACACAGAACAAGATATTTACAACGTCATTGGCACCATATATGGCAGGGAAGAACCGGATCGTTGGGTATTGATAGGAAATCATAGGGACGCTTGGGGATTTGGTGCTGTAGATCCTTCCAGTGGGACAGCGGCCATGATGGAAATTTCACGTGGCTTGAGCATGTTATTAAAACAAGGTAATTGTTCTAATGTAGTTGCCATTTTAAAATATCATTCGAGAGCGTTCTCAGTGGTGCCTAAATTACGAAACCATTAAATAAACAATGCTTTTAACTAAGCCACAAATGAGAGATTCCATCATCCCAGGCGCATGTCTCTGTCCTATTACCTATCCCAAAATTAAAATAAATCAAGAATGAATCACGTCACGTAAACTGATTAAAGTTAGAAAATAAAGAAATACAAAATAAAAATAACGAAGTAAAACGTTACTTCTCAAAACGACTTCGTTCCAAGTAAAAGTTTACTTTGTTACATGCTCACTTCTCAAACATAGTACTCAAGTACAGTAACAGGGTACATTTACTTCGTTACTTGACACCACTGAGCGTTCTATATTTCCCGTTTCGTTTTAAATAGTTGAAAACGAATGGATTCTTTACCATAGCGATTGCGCCATCCAGTGACGAACAATGATTGACCAGAATGTGTCATTGTCTTTTCAGTGTTCCGAAAATCTCACTGTTCTCTACGTTATTCAGTTACTTATAGTTTTGGCACACATACTGTATGCATATATGATGGATCGATGCATGACCGTTAGTTGTTTGTCCGTCACTCGCCTTGGGCTTGGTCATACTTCACTGAAAGAATGTTCGTCGACGTTAACTGTATATAACTAAATAAATGTTTTTCTATTGTGTTACAACGCAATCATCAAGATCTGGAAAACTGTTTTAATTAAAGAGGTTTCTTTTGACAGTCTCTCTAATCCTGTAGTTTTAGATACTCTAAAACACTTAGCTGTATTTATAACTTTGCATGACATGGCTTGTTCCTTGGTTCGACCGAAACTGTCCTTTGCGATAGGATCTAAATTTCAGTGATAATAATTTTACTTACGTTTGGGCAGGTGCGTTGTGTGATTCTTCGAGTCGCGTTTCCTCGAGGCCTAGGATCGTATCGTAATTTTGTTAGTTTAGGTTTTAAGTACATAGTTAAATATTTTTACATGTTTTCGCTCGCTACTCTGATTTAAGTAAATTAATGCAAAGGGTCGTGAATTGAAATACACCCTTCCGGAAAGTATGTCACTTTGGCTCTATAGCCTCGTTTTCGCGTATGTGACATAAGTTAAAGCCTCATCTCAATCACGAAAACGAGGCACTACAGCAAAGGTGCACATGATGTACCTTCCACGACGGTGTATTCGAAACGGCTTTGCATTTATTTACACTTAAACCAGAGTAGCGAACGAAAGCACATGCCTTATGTTTTTGCTAACTTTATCATTGTACAAATCTATGAAGGTTGGCGTCCCCGGCGTACCATTAAGTTCTGTAGTTGGGGAGCAGAAGAAGCAGCTTTGATTGGCTCTAATGAATGGGTGGAGGAACACGAACGAGCTTTGTCAACCAAAGGCGTCACTTACATCAACATTGATGTTTCAGTTGCTGGTACTCACATGCTAATTTTGAAAGGATCTCCCCTGTTCGAGACCGTCATTGCACAAACTGTTAAAAATGTTGAAGATCCACATCTCAATAAAAGCGACGGAAAACGACAGACCGTGTACGAAAGATTGGTAGAAGTCTCTCATTCTAGTGATGGTAGAATTCCATTTGGTAGTCTCGGATCTGGGTCTGATTATGCTAGTTTTTATCAATTTGTGGGTAAGAACCTTACAATAGATTGTTTACACAATCTATTTTGCAGATTATTGACAATGTTTATTGACGCTGTAAAACTGACGCCATATATAGTTATAGAGCAAAATAGCATAATTTTACAAATAAAGTACTAAATATACTTTTTAAGTTTTTGCCGCTTGAGAAACGCATCAAATATTAAAAAAATGAATATAATCGTAACCAAGTGGAAAATAATATTTATTAGTTTTGAGCGCGTGTTACGTAACATACAAAAGATTCTCCTCTTAATAGAAGGGTACAGTACATACATTACAAAATTCTGGCTTAAACTGGATCTTGTTCAATAACCAATGCTAATGAAAATCCAACAAGTTACATTAGCAATTCTCCTGTATCTAGTTTTGCCAAGTCACCTATCACACAAACTCAAGTACTAAGTCTGTTTTTAACACTTGACAAGTATCAAAGCCTCTTTTGATATTCCAAATGCAATGATAAAAAAGATAGCCCCAATAATCTCACCTGTGTTTACAAATATATATATATGAATAATACGGGTATTGGTCCAGGCATTCTAAAGATTTCACGAGTTACACCCATATACAAATCTGGTACAATTAAAAATCCAAGTAACTATCAACCATCAGTCTTGTCAGCTTTTTCAAAAATACTGGAAAAAATATCAATTTGGATTTAGAAAAGGTTATTCGACAGAACAAGCGATACTTGAAATTACAGATACCTTAAAAACTACAACTGATAAAAAAGAAATAACGTGTGGACTATTCTTGGATTTTTCGAAAGCCTTTGATACTGTCAATCATTATCTAAACTTGACAAATATGGAATACGTGGGACCCAGTTGGATTGGTTTAAGAGTTATTTAATGAATAGGAAACAGTATGTACGGATTGGTAATAGTGATTTAGAAATGCTTACAATGACTTGTGGAGTTCCGCAAGGTTCAACTCTCGGACCATTATATTATTCTTAATTTATATAAATGACATGCCTAATTGCAGTACCAAACTTTCATTCCGAATATTCGCAGACGACACAAATGTATTTTACTCAAACACAAGTATTGAAGATGTTGAAAACGTTATGAATATAGAAATTGAAAAAATATTTCGTCACTGTGCTACAAATAAGCTTTCAATTAATTTGGAAAAGACAAATTTTATGGTTATCACTAACTCAAATAAGAAAGTTAGAGATATAGACCATTTTCATAAATGGCTGCCGATTAAAAATTCTTTTATGTGCATATAAGTGGGCCCAACTAGAAGGGCCGGATTAACCACGTGACAGATGTGGCATATGCCGCGGGCCTCGCGCTTATGGGGGCCTCACGCTTTACTGTGCCACGCCCATTTTTACGAGAACACGCCTATTTTCTATTGGGACTCGCGAATTTAGGGACCCTAGGCTTGGCAGTTGACCACAGCAAAATATACAATATTCGTATGCATCGGTAATCTCCAGTTGCGCTGAGCTGTTATATATAATCCTGTTTATACTTGTTGACCCAACAACTGGGCCAGGCAGGCAATTGTTTATAATTGATGCCAATCAATTGAAAGCAATATTTAACAATTTCGTGTGTCTTTGAATTCAAAGGTTTTCAAAATGGGGCTCGCGCTAAAATCTGCCACGGGCCTCGCGCGACGTTGATCCAGCTCTGCCAACTAGCCTCGTTTGTGGGTAGAAATTCCTTTGAAATCTTAACATGAGTACGAGGCTAGTTGGGCCAATTATATGCACATAAAAGAATTTTTAATCGGTAGCCATTTATGAAAAGGGTCTATACGGATTAAAAACATTGTTAAAAGAGACTTTAATAAATATCTTGGTATATATATTGATAATAATCTAAATTGGAAGTATCAGATCGAACACGTAAATAGTAAAATTGCTAAAAACACTGGAATAATTAATAAAGTTAGATGTTACATAGATTTGAAAATGCTTAGTCCCTTCCTTACCATATAAAAAAGTCAAATTCAGTTTCTGTTTTTAAGAATAGGTATAGTCAATTCCTTATTTATTCGCAAATATGCATGCCTACACAGTTCTGTTATGTCGCCGTCATATACTTTTATATAATAATATGATACATATATACAGTGATCAACTCGAAAGCATTTTGCTACTTTGATCACTGTACACGTTTGTTTAATATAGTAATTTTAATATGTGGGTTTTGGTTTTGTAACTATATAATTTTTCTGAATGTTATCCTTGGTTTATATACATGTGAAATAAATGTGATTCTGATTGTATTAGAGAGCGGGCATTTAATCGACCATTTATGGTTATTAATTTCAGTGAAAATCTCAACCCACGGTAAAAATGCATGGAACGTTTTTAGCCGGTCAGCAAGATGATCAAAATTTATATTCTTTTTGTAGGCGTGCCATCGTTAGATATGTACTACCTCGGTGAGGGCATCTATCCAGTTTACCATAGTGTTCACGACACGTACAAATGGCTTCAAGGTTTGGTAGACACAGACTTCTCATATCATCTTACGGTTACGCAAGTAGCAGCAAGAGCACTGATGTCGACCGTTGACAGCATCGTACTGCCACTTGATGTCCGCCAATACGCTAAATCCTTGCGAAAATCTTTCAAGAATTTGAATGATACATATGGCATGGAACTACGCCAGAATAACATCACCTTACATTACATCGATACGGCAATTATCAGGTAAGACCATTGTATATTTTTCCTTGACGATTTTCCCTTTTTATTGTATCTTAGTGAAAACGATGATATTAATCTTAGTCTTCACTAAACCATGACCAGGCCATGTTTACAATTATGAGCGCGAAAACGCAAGTCATGCAGGCAAAACGCTAAGACGTTAATTTTTCACTCAAAATGGCGAGAACCCGAGACGATAATTTTCACATGTGAAAAATATCGTCCGCCTTGAGCATACGATTTTTATTCCACCTATTTACTACAGGGAAATCTCTATACTTACATACAATAAATTATACTATAAACACATAATAACCTCATGCTTTTTTATTAACCAAAAAATTATATTTCCCAAATATTGTTTCAACATGAAGTATTAAACTACAGCTGACTGAACGCTGGCTCGTATTAAGTGGTAATTATCATTTTCTTTTTTACATTTTTGTGCAGAATTGCAAAAATAATTTTAAAAATTAGTACTTTTAATTTCAGAAATATAAAATTTGATTTAATTTATAAAATGAATACCCTTGCCGCGGGCTATCGATCGGACAGTGCATGCAGACCAGTTGGGTATTGCCGTTGGGTCTCTCCTCATTTTAACACTAATATCAAACAAATCAATTTGTTTTCTTCATGCATTTGCAGGTTCAATAACGCATCTGTGAAATTCCATGAAGAGGTAGACAAAGCCATCAAAAGTAAGAACGAGATTGAACTCCGTGGTCTAAATGACAGGATGGTGAACGTAGAAAAATCCTTCATTTACAGTCTTGGTCTTCCAAATCAAAAATTCAACCGTCACGTTATTTTTGCGCCACCTTTCAACAACAATTATGCCAGTGCCCATTTCCCTGGGATATCTGATCTCATGTTTCCGAGCAATAAGACTGAGAAAGACTGGGGGGAAATACGAAGACACATTTCCATTGTATTCAAATCAATCATGTCTGCAGCAGAGACGCTAAATGAAGACGCAAAGTAAAATTTTTTATATACGTAAATCAGTAAGTCACCAAACTTTAAAAACTGCAGCATTAATTATAGTAAGATTTCTTCCTATAATCACCCGTGAAAGAAGTTAACACAAACTGTTTGCTAGTATAGCTATACATATATGGGATCGCAGTAATTGGCTCAAGCTGTTGCGATTGCCCTGCCAGTTTTTTGTGTTAACGTTGTTTAAATCTGGCAAAGTTAATAAATAAATAAATATAGAATATGTTTCTATATAGAAACAGAGTCACATTAAAAAAGATTGCCAATAATAAAACATTAATTAAAATAGTAAAAAAACTTTCAATATAATTTTTGTCAATACTGCACTTCCTCTATTTAGCCCCCCCCCCATCCCGCTGGGAGCATACTTGAAGGGGAGGCGGGCTAGATAGATGGAGGTGGATAAGATGTTGTGAAGCTTAGATTTTGTTCGTTTACTGTAAATGCCTCTGTTCCCCATTTTTAATAGTATAAGCCAATTTGGCGTTGGAACTTCTCTTCTCATTGATTAAGAATAAAATGTCTAAAAAATCATATGGCAGCACTAAATAGAGACCTCTGTCGGCAGGGAAGGAAGACATATTCAAAAAGGAAACGCGCTATGCCTGGCTCGTCTACTCTGTCTGAGTATCGGTTTATGCGAATATAATATTTTGAAAAAGGGGGAAAAAAAGTAAAAGAATAAGGCTATATAGCCTTAACTCTTTGTCCATTTTAGCCACTTTTTTATTTTTAAAAAAGGGGAAAAAAAAGAGCAAAAAAGTAAGGCTATATAGCCTTAACTTTTCGTCTATTTCTAGCCACTTTTTCAAAAATGAAAAAGTGGGCAAAAATGGCAGAAAATAAGGCAATAGCCTTAACTTTTTGTCCATTTTTAGGCACTTTTTTATTTTTGGAAAAAGGGGAAAAAAGTAAGGCCGTAGCCTTAACTTTTCGTCCATTTTTAGCCACTTTTTTTATTCTTGAAAAAGCCGGGCAAAAAAGGGTAAAAGAATAAGGCTTTATAGAATTAACATTTTGTCCATTTTTAAAACATATTTTTCATTTTTGGAAAAAGGGGCAAAAAATGGTAAAAACAAATAAGGCTATAGCCTTAACTTTTGGTGCATTTCTAGCCACTTTTTCAAAAATGAAAAGTGGTTAATTAAAAATGGCAGAAAGTAAGACTATAGCCTTAACCTTTTGTCCATTTTTAGCCACTTTTTCATTTTTGAGAAGGGTGCAAACAAAAGGGCAAAAAATAAGGCTATAGCCTTAACTTTACGTCCATTTTTAGCCACTTTTTTCATTTTTGAAAAAGGAGGGGAAAATGGTAAAAAAATAACGCTTTAGCCTTAACTTTTCTTCCATTTTTAGCCATTTTTTCATTTTTGAAAAAGGGGCAAAAAATGGTAGAATAATAAGGATATTTTTTATTTTAATAAAGCTTTATTTGCATGACCTAATTACAGGTATTGCTAAGCGTATATAAAGGTAACAGTTAACTAGTATAAAAGACTAGTTAACTAACGAAAAACAAAAATATACTGTTATTTACATTTGTAATATTAAATGTAAAAGAGTATATAAAATAGGAAAGATATATGATAAATACAAATATCAAAATTTAAGAAAGGATTATAAAAAGAGTATAATATAAAAAAGGAAAGGAAGTATATCCGAAAATAGATCTGTTACCACAGGGTCTTTCAACGACATAAGATCACTTAATAATTTTCTCTTTAATTCATCAGTGATGCTCATTTGGAAATAGTCTTTTAGGATGTTGTGCGAGTTATTTCGCAAATTCTCGTATTTTTCGCATTCAAATGAAAAATGAAATTCATCTTCAACTGCGAGTTTATCGCAGTATTTACACAGTCTCTCCTGTCGAGGTACATCGCTATAACGACCGAACTCAATTTCTAGTTTATGATTACTTATACGAAATTTTGAGAACAGTCTTCTTTGGTTAGGGTCTTTAATGATATTTAGATATTCTTCTAAGTTATAGTGTTTTTTAAATGTAGAGTAAAATGACAATTTACTAGAGTTTTTAATTTGATGTTTCCAAAATGATGTGTAGTTATCTTTAATGGTTTTTACAAAGTCGTGTATGTTTGTATCCTGGACAATTTTTTCAATCTCTATTGTATCTTCGATATTAGGATGAAACTTTTTAATAATGCTTGCAGCATTAGAATAGAATGAATCTTTACCGTTTGAGTAAAGTCTTTTTGACAGGTAAAAAGTTTGTTTCGCTATACTTGTATCTGGTAATTGACTAAGGTGGTTAATGTAAGAAAATAATCTTTTGAATATGGGGATTAATAGAGGGAATTTACCTAATTCACCCCTACTAGCGATATTGCTTGCTTTCCTGTTCACACCTAAATAGAGTTTGCAAAATTTCAGATGTGTTTTCTCAGTACTAGTTTTGTCCCATTTAGTAAAATCGTTGTTACCATAGGCTCCCCAAACCTCAGAATTATAAAGCAAGATTGGAGGGACTATGCCATCAAAGATTTTTATTGCAAGTTGTGGTGTAAGTTTCTGAAAATCAAGATTTTTCCGTATTTTAAAATAAGGCATGCATAGCCTTTTCACTCAGTTGCTGAGTCGCAACTGAAAATTTAGTGTTAGGAGTTAGTTTTAGACCGAGATAAGTGTATTCGTTTGTAATATCAATACGTTTATCTCCCAAGAAAAAGTCGAGTGATTGTAGTTTGGACGGTTATGTTTTTGTAGAATCATAACTTTGTTTTTTTTTCAAATTAATATTCATTATAGCCATCTTTTGCTGCATTCATTGAGGGAGTCTAAACAATTTTGGAGACCAGATTTTGATCTTGATAGTATGACAAGATCATCCGCATATAGTAGACTACTTAGTCTCGTTCCATTTGCTAAAAGAAATGGGTCTGGGTTTACTTTTTCAAATAGATTAGGAAGTTCGTTTATATATAGATTAAAGAGAAGGGGGCTGAAAACACAACCTTGGCGTACACCTCGATTGTAAGAGAAGAACGGTGTTCTATGACCCGATACTTTCACTGCACACCGAGTATTAGAGTACAGATCCTTTATTAGATCATAGAAGCGTCCTCCAATTCCATTTTCTAATAGTTTCAAATAAAGACCTTCGTGCCAGACAGAATCAAAGGCCTTTTTAAAATCAATAAAACATGCGTAAATTATTTCATTATTTTGATTAACGTATTTATCATGCAACGTTTTTAAGGTAAGAATATGATCGGCTGTTCTGTTATTTGGTAGAAAACCAATTTGAGCAATTCTTTAGTTTTTGAAAAGTTCATCAGTCTTCATCAGAGGACAGTTCATCAGAGGACAGAGCAGAAGAACTTTCCTAACGAGCATGATACGCATATTCCTCGGTAATTACTTGGGTCTAATTTGTTCCCTGATTTAAAAATTGGTGAGATAAGTCCTTCACACCATAAAGTTGGGAACTTTCCCGATTTCATTATTGTGTTGAATACTTTTATAGAACCATTGGCAAGGATATCAACAATATATTTTATCATTTCGTTGTTGATTTTATCTGAGTGTGCAGCTTTTTTAGATTTTATTTTCTTAGCTGTTTTTATTATTTCTTGAATTGTTATTTCCGTATCAAGCTCATTGAGATTTTTCGAATTTTCCTTTTGTTTCAATTTTCCGATAATTATTTCTTGTTCTTCACTAAGATGGTGATCACAATGTAGTTGTTCAAAATGTGAGTACCATTCATGATTTTTTGGTGCGTTTTCAGAATTAGTTTCAGTATTAAGGTCGTCTGTCAAGTTCTTTAGAGTTTTCCAGAAAAGGTTAAAATCATTTTGACTAGCTGTTTCTAGCTCATTCATCTTTTTGTTGTGAAATTCATTTTGTTTCAGCTGTAGAGTTGCCTTATATGATTTCAAGGCATCATGGTAGTTTTTTCTAAGTTCAACATTGGTAGGATCTCTATGTTTTAAATTAGATAATTTCCTTAAATCATGTCGTTTAATTCTACAGTCTTTATCAAACCATTTCTTTTGAGCAACGTTAGTAATTTTTCTTCTTCGTTTGCTCTTTTTAATGTTCAAACTTTTTTCGATGTTTCAAGTAAGATGTTGCATTTCTTGTGATCTTAATAATTCTCTAAAGTTATTTTTAGATTGGTTATCCCAAATGTATTGGTTTGGTAATTTAGTCATTTCAATATTACATCGAGGATTGGTATCTGGGTTTTCGTTTGTCGGACGGATACCAACCCATGTAACAATTTGACTATGGTCAGATAGGTCATAGGTATGTTGGTGGTTTTACAACAAAATAATTAGTATTTCTAAATAATTCCTGATCACATATGATGTAATCAACTACATTTACACCATCGAAATTTTTTTGACTTTTTACCTTTTTTCAAATTTGGTTCTGGTTAGTAGAGTGATGCCACCTGATTTGCGACATGCCCGGTTGGTACGAGGTTTTGCAGTATCAGAGACAAACGCATAATATTAACTTTCACGTCTTTTTCGCTTACACAGCTGGAAAAACTTGCTTTTTTTGTCCACGGACTGTCTATATATGCAAGAATGAGGCATCGACAGAAAACCTATTGAACGTAGAATCCAAAAATACAATTTTCAGACCGTGACAAATTCTAGTTTTTGCCACAAGGGGCCTTGGAATTCAATTGAACATAAGATTCGAAAACGCATAATATTAACTTTCACGTCTTTTTCGCTTACACTGCTGGAAAAACTTGCTTTTTATGTCCACGGACTGTCTATTTATGCAAGAATGAGACATCGACAGAAAGCCTATTGAACGTAGATTACAAAAATACAATTTTCAGACCGTGACAAATTCTAGTTTTTACCACAAGGGGCCTTGGAATTCAATAGAACATAAGATTCGAAAACGCATAATATTAACTTTCACGTCTTTTTCGCTTACACTGCTGGAAAAAACTTGCTTCTTATGTCCACGTACCGTCTATTTATGCAAGAGTGAGGCATCGACAGAAGCCTATTAATCATAGATTCCAAAAATACAATTTTCAGACTAGCCCAAATTCTAAATTTTGCCACAAGGGGCCTTGAAATTCAATAGAACATAAGGTTCGAAACGGAATAATATTAACTTTCACGTCTTTTTCGCTTACACAGCTGGAAAAACAGCTGGAAAAACTTACTTTTTATGTCCACGGGCTGTATATTTATGCAAGAACGAGGCATCGACAGAACGCCTATTGAACGTAGATTCCAAAAATACAATTTTCAGACCGTGACAGATTCTAATTTTTTCCACAAGGGGCCTTGGAATTCAATAGAACATAAGATTCGAAAACGCATAATATTAACTTTCACGTCTTTTTCGCTTACACAGCTGGAAAAACTTGCTTTTTATGTCCACGGACAAATCTAGTGATGCACGAGTAAGGCATCGACAGAAAGCCTATTGATCATAGATTCCAAAATTACGATTTTCAGACTGGCCCAAATTCAAGTCTCTGCCACAGGAGCTTTGAAATTCAATCGAACATAAGGTTCGAAACGGCATAATATTAACTTTCACGTCTTTTTCGCTTACGCAGCTGGAAACACTTGCTTTTTATGTCCACGTGTTACGAGGCTTTATTTAATTTAAGTAGTGAATCGTTACAATCAACCTCTAATAACTATCAGTTTTTAATATAATGTTCGTCTTCTCGTAGTAGTTTCCTAAAGTTCACTGAGAATCCACTGAGATATCATGCACTGAAAGATCATCCACTCACTGAGAGGTCATCCACTGACAAATTTGGGTTGTGCACGCACTTTTATACTAACGGTTGAGGGATCTTTGTACACGTGATGTAGCAAGTGGTGTGAGTTGTATCCAGCCAATCAACGTTGAGGTTTAAAAGTGTGGGTTGGCGTTGCTAGCTCGTTCCAGCTCTCAAATTCTGTTTATTTAAGACGTTGTCGCACTGGTCGAGTTGGTTCGCTGTTCAATCGATCAATATTAAAATATGTTCACAACTTAAAGTACTCATCAAAATATCATAGTAAAACCTTCAAACTATACCTATGTGAACCTTACTTTACCTACTAAACTAAATTCACTTACAATTTTGTTGAACCAAAATTTTGATGACGTAATGTTATCATTACTCAACCGCGCGAAATATACCGAAGAATGATTGACAGAAAGGCCCTAAGCATGCACATTTTCATGTCAGAGAAGAACCAGCCTTGGACTTTGAATTATGTAAACACAACAGTCCACCATGCAAGGTTATCGTCCAACTTTGACAAATTATTTATCTTGCCTAATGGACAGATAATTGACACTTTTACGCAAGTCCGAAATGATATATACTTTATCTGAGTTTTACAGCAAAAATGCTCATTATCTCTCCATTTGACGTAACTAATATCTATAATTACCTGGGGTGCAAATTGAGCTATTTTGATACTATTTAGATATACTTTCGTAACAGAGGGTCCTGAAGGGGTAAAATGGGAACTGGGATTGATCTATTTTTAGACTGGGAAAATGGGATTCGGGTTGCTGGGACTGGGATTTGGCCACTGGGAATGGGAAATGAAGTCCTCAAAAATGGGAATGGGATTGAGGTAATGCGAGTCGATTCCCAATTTTTCTGCGTTTTGAGTATTTTAAAATACAGTTTTGATCCGTTTTTGGTGTCTTTGGTCATGATTTTTGTTGTTAACTATATTATTCACAGCACTACCTGCGAACAGGGATACTCTGGTGCCCGGAATTCTGGGTTTTATGATTATGCGTGTCTCAGAATGCTGCAAATGCCATTTCCGGGATTCAAATTTAAAAATTTTCCGTGCCTTCGGCACGGCCCCCCCGTAATATTTCATAAAATGTCCGCCACTTGCTTAAAAAGGTCTTAAAACTGTTTATTCTACCGATAAATAAAGGGGTTTTTATTGACTGGGATTTCAATAACTGGGACTGGGATTTCTAATAAAAATCCAACTGGGACTGGGATTTTGCCAAAATTTTAGGTGGGAAATGGGATTGGGACCCCCCTTCAGGACCCTCGTAACACACGTACCGTCTATGTATGCAAGAATCAGGCATCGACAGAAAGCCTATTGAACGTAGATTCCAAAAATACAATTTTGAGACCGTGACAAATTCTAGTTTTTGCCACAAGGGGCCTTGGACTTCAATAGAACATAAGATTCGAAAACGCATATTAACTTTCACGTCTTTTTCGCTTACAGAGCAGGAAAAACTTGCTTCTTATGTCCACGTACTGTCTATTTATGCAACAGTGAGGCATCGACAGAAGCCTATTGATCATAGATTCTAAAAATACAATTTTCAGACTAGCCCAAATTCTAATTTTTGCCACAAGGGGCCTTGAAATTCAATAGAACATAAGGTTCGAAACGGCATATATTAACTTTCACGTCTTTTTCGCTTACACAGCTGGAAAAACTTACTTTTTATGTCCACGGACTGTATATTTATGCAAGAACGAGGCATCGACAGAAAGCCTATTGAACGTAGATTCCAAAAATACAATTTTCAAATCGTGACAGATTCTAGTTTTTGCCACAAGGGGCCTACAATCGCGTGCAAAAATTGTTGAGACAAGCGATTTATTGCCCCTCTCCCTCCTGTAACAATGGTTTTTGCCCCCCCCCCCCTCCCCCTTGTGCAATGTTGTTAAAACAATTTTCAGGTCAGGGCTTATCAAATAATATGTTTTCAACATTGTTAGTGGGGGGAGGGGGGCACGCACGTGAAAAAAATCACCAAAATGTGAAGAGTCTCACTATTTTTGCACGCGATTGTCTATGTAGTTTCGAGTAATGATAATTCTAATACGGTTATTTCGCTTTGCTGTAAATAAGAAGCATAACTGCCTTTGCTTACTGTTACTATGTGTTTGGCGTGTGCCTAAGGATTTTCCCTACAGTGTGTAAAATTGTGACGTCACATTGACGTTATCGTGACGTCATAAATGACCGTAAATAGTTCATAAATTGAACGCGTCCCGCTTGAGTATGAAAACAGTTAGGACAAGATGCCATTGACAAGCAGATCACGTCAAAAAAGTTTGAACAATTTTCCGAAAGAGTTAAAAGCACGACGATGAATTTGTCAAAAAGTACTATCGACTGAATTATTATATCGATGAACAAGCGTGTTGCAATGTTCAGTGAGAAACGGAGGAGAACAATTGAAGTATTAAATTTATTAAGTGTTTCTATATTACAATGTTTTTCCTTATTTATACAGTTTATATTGGCAGAGCCTTTTGACTTCAATTACTGTTTTAGATGCTTAATAGTGACGAATGGATTAAGTACACACTTCTACCATGCATATTCAATAAAAGTACTATGCGAAAACTCAACGATTTATTGCCTCCGCGTGAAAATTATTTTGAAGACCTTATACATGCATACAAACTAAATAGAACTCAATTTCAACACGTTACGCACACGTTACGCCACACGTTACGCCTTTCAGTATATAATAATCTATATAGACTATAGAGATATAATAATCTATTTAATATATATTTCTAAACTCACAAGAGTTAGCAAAAAGCTTTATTATCATAACTATTTTACTACGAATTTACAAAACATGAAAAGGGATAAATAATTTAATAAATAGGAAAAGTAAAAACAGACGTGTCATCAGTGCGGTTAAAAGACCAAACAACAATGGTATTTCGAAGAACCCTGCAGAAATTTCAAATATATTCAATCAACACTTTGCTTCAGTTGGACAAAAGTTGGCGTCAAGCCTTCCCCAATCTAGTCGAGATTTTCGCGAATACCTAACCACACCGACATATTCTGGTCATTTTATTTCGACCCAGTTACTCCCGCTCAGGTAGAGACTGAGATTAATTCCTAATAATAAAGCAAGCGGACTGTACTCTTTTCCAATAAGAATTATGAAATGTGCTAAAAGTATTATCTCAGGACCATTAGCTAAATTAATGAATTTGTCGATAGAAACGGGTATATATCCGTCTAAACTAAAATATGCAAAAATTATACCTGTCTATAAGAGTGGAGAGGAAGAAAATCCAACAAATTATAGACCGATATCTTTGCTTTCAAATATCAATAGGATCTTTGAGAAATTAATGTATAATAGACTTAAAACGTTTATTGACAAACATAATATCTTAATACCTTCACAGTATGGTTTCCGAGAAAAGCATTCTGTTGAACATGCACTGCTAGATATTATTAACAAAATCCAATCTAATATGGATGAAAAACAATTTTCATGCGGAATTTTTATCGACTTGCAAAAAGCCTTTGATACCGTAAATCATGAAATATTATTACAAAAACTAAACCATTATGGAATAAGAGGTATTGTAAACAACTGGTTTTCTTCCTATCTATTAGAAAGGTCTCAGACTACCAAAATTAGCCCAAAAATATCAGAAAGAGTAAAAGTATGCTGTGGTGTTCCACAAGGATCTATATTGGGACCTCTATTGTTTCTAATATATATTAATGACATACACAATTCTTCTAGTAAATTTAATTTTTTCTTATTTGCTGATGACACCAATCTGCTTTATTCGGATAAAAACCTAAGGACCCTCGAAAATATGGTAAACAAGGAATTAGAAAACGTAAGTGACTGGTTATTCGCAAATAAACTAAGCTTAAACATTGCAAAGTCAAACTTTGTTATCTTTCATACTTACCAAAAAAAGGTTAATTATATTCCTAATCTAAAAGTTTTTGACCATAATACTCACCAATATGTATCTCTAGAACATAAGAATTATGTTAAATATTTAGGTATACTAATAGATAGTAATTTAACATGGAGATACCATATAGACTATATTACTTTAAAGATAAGTAAAACCATTGGCATCATTTCAAGGATCAGACATTTTGTTCCATTTGGTACACTTTTAAATATATACCGCTCCCTGATACATCCTTATATTTCTTTTGGTTTAACAGTATGGGGTCAAACAAATAAAACAAACCTTAACAAGGTTCTTTTACTTCAGAAACGTGCCATTAGATTGATGTATTTTACCCCTTATAGAGAACATGCAATACCACATTTTGTTACATCAAATATATTACCGGTTAGCATGCTTTATTACGAAAAAATAGCATTATTAATGCATGATATTACAAACAAATTAGCCCCATCCAATATTATAGATCTTTTTACGCCGATCAAAGCAATTCACTCGTACAACACTAGGTCTGCAGCTGCAAATAAACTTTATTTCAAACACTCAAGACTTAAACAAACGAATGAATCTTTTAGCGTGATGGGATTAAAAGTATGGAACGAGATACCAGAAGATTTCAGGGATCTGAGTAGAAATATATTCAAAACAAAATTGAAGAAAAAGCTTTTTCAGGTTCTGGAGCATGAGGACATCTACATTGATTTATCAACACTAATAAAAACAATTAATTTACAAAAATAATACATATTTTTCTTTCTAATAACCTAATAATTAAATACGTTAGCTTTAGTTTTAACACTTATTCAAAATGAACTCTATAGATTATAGGCTTACAGTAAAACTGGGATTGATATAAACATCATATATCAGTCCTAGTTTAAATATTTGCAGATATATAGTATCGAGTTAATATTTACTTTTAATCTCTAAATAACATGCATGCAGTTATTATTTGATATTAACATCATTATATATTTAAAAAAATTGTTTTGAAAATCATACACTACCCGCCGCGAATAGCTTTGCTAATTGCGGGATCGTGTAATCAAAATGTATTATTTAACTAAACTATTTGATTAAATTTTGATTTGATTTGATTTGATTTTGAACTTACTCTTCGAAACATAGAATTTACTCTTCAAAACTTAGAATTTACTCTTCAAATATCGAATTTACTCTTCGGAACTTAAAATTTAGTCTTCAAAACTTAGAATTTACTCTTCAAATCATAGAATTTACTCTTCTAAATATCGAATTTACTCTTC